GGTTTCAGCACTGTGATACAGCCTAATAAAGTCAAACATAACACTTGATGACACTAACAACTGCCTTATCAACCGAAGGGTAGCTGATGACGCTGCACGTGAACGTTCCAACTGTCATTAGTTTTAGGGAACTTCAGGCAATTTGTGTTGCCCGGCCAGACCAGTTCCCACTAATCTGTGGTTATAATGTTTTCACCCTAACTCCCATTGTTGTCCTTGAATTTTGTGGGTATAACTGAGTTGAAGTATCTCTAAAGGAAGATCACTCTCCAAAAACGCACATACCAAACATTCTTCGTCAAATTTCCATAAGATTGTTCATTTTTGGGCAGGGCGTCCCGTACCTCCTCCAGAAGTATGCAATCCTATTCCATGAGATATGGTTTTACACCACAGGATACTGAATAACCCCCAATTTTGAAGGGCTATCTGGTAGTTCTCAAGGGTTGCTGTACGAGACACAAGCCGGTCTATTCCTGGCCTAGCTGGACATCCAGATAGATATTGTCACTGGCCTCATATTACAATGAACAAAACCATACTTGTCTTTCTTCTTCCTATGACAGTTGATTTTCGTGACAGTTTTATTTGCCACTTATTGTTGTTTCATGCATAATGATTGCAACGCGGTGAACGAAGCGCATAACCTTTACAGTGTGGACAGAATATCGGTGCATTCATGAATGACCATAATTAGACAAACCAAGTACAATATATAAAGAAGAAATAAAGGACATCGAGATAACTACAGTGAAGTTTGTGGGGACTGTGATTGATCGATGCCTATTTCGGATTGATACGACTTGCGTTTAAATGAATTCGTGGTTTCCGTTTGCGATTATGATTCTCCTTTTTAAAAAACGGGAAGAATCCGCAGACGACATAAACAGAAGCCTTTCAGCCCATCAAAGAAGACAGTAGCAACAAACTCTGATGAGAATTAGACAACTCCAGAGTGAATCCATCATGAAGGGTATAATGACCAACTCAGCGCAAAATTTACGAAAACATACTTAGATATCATGGGTTGAAGAAAATAATGCTTGGACAGAGTCAACCCAGTGAAGAATAAACGAGAATTTCCTCAATATGGTCACCGCGGGTGTTCTGTAGGAAAAATTAGCTTCGTTCCACCTGACTGTGGACAAAAACGCTGGAATACAAAAACTTTGAATTTAAGAATGATAATCGTTCTACGTAGGATTGGCGTTCTATGGAGAACAGTTTTGCCCTTATCATATCAAGAATGACTTTAGTAAGAACTACACAGATGAATCAGCTATCAATAACGAGCGTTTCGCAAGAAAATGAGAAAACTGTGCATGTTAGATCAACCCTCATCTTTCGTCCATCACATTTTGCAATGAAGTGCAAGTAGGGCTGAACACGACTCTCATTTTTGAAATAGTACTAATTGAAAGTATACACAACCATAATGGAAAACTGGAGGCCGATGTCAATCAGTTTGCCAGAGCATTTCAACTTCTTGAATGTGCAACGGCAATTTTTTGGTGATGACATTGTTAGATGCTAAGACACCAGGAAAAACACCTTCACAAATCGTTTGAAAATAGTTTCGCAGCCTACACAAGAAGGGTCATAAAAAGAGTTATTACGTGAATTAGCACTGTTCCACAGCTCTCCAGTTCACATCTAGCCCTCAAGAAACTTTCAAGGACAAAAAATGGAAGCAATTTGTACTACAGGATTAGTGGAGAAACTATTGAAGGCAGCGTTCGCCTCGTTAGGAAATAGTAACGAAACCCTAAAAAAATGACGCCAACTTGTTTGCACTCTCTTTTGATCACATAACTGGTCAGCGGCACAATTTATTCATTTGATATTGATACATTGTAAAAAACTATGAAATTTGTAGCCAATGGCTCAGGGTATGGATTTGGCAAGCCACTAGTGGCCGTGCACGGTGACGAACAGGAAACTTTGAAAATGACAACACAAGCCCTTGTCTGATCCTAAAGAAATGTCTGATTTATTGATTTTGAAATCTGTGAGGAGCAGAAGCCAGCAAGACTGTGATATGTGGTATACACGGAAGCGATTTGTAGTTCCGTAAATAAACACGGTACGATAAAATAACCGTGACAGTTAAGTTTGCTAAGTTTTTCCACTAGTGTTTAGAACGAGCGTTAAAACCATATTATACTGAGATGATTCTGTAGGCCAGTGCACGTACAAAGAATGAAAGCCTTGGAAGAAACTAGATTTCAGCGAAAAACACTCATTTGCAAACTAATTTGGTTTTGCGAGAGACTCACTTGGAACCCAGCTGAATCTCTCGTTTGTGATGTTTTCAGGCAACTGAATGTGTTGCACCAGGTCGCCTCATGTTTCAGTCGCTACGCTATTCGATATATCGCGATACATGTATATTCGTAATGCACTTTTTATAGATTTCGATGAAATTAATCAGTAGTTGCTGAATTCCTAAAATTAGTCTGAGGGATCAGGCGCTACCCACGACTCACCTATTTCGATCTATTTCCGTGTTCCGTGCATTAGGTGGAACGTGCAACATGCAAGCATATGCCACTATGTAGGCACTGCAACAATCGAAACCACGTGACCAGTGCCACTGCTGCTTCCTTGGCTGATACTATTCACCGGATTAATCCGGTCGAGTCATCCAGTTTAAAATGGACACTCAACAGACAAAGCATCCGTAATTAGATTACGTCAACCGATCCCACTGTCACAATAATTGTCACAAGAAAGCGGTGACCATTCAATGATACACCAACACCTTAGGTCAAAATGTCGCTGACAGAGGACCAATTTGTCAAGCTATTTGATTGATTGAGGATGTCGACCAGTTGTCTCGCAATTTGCTGTTCGTTTACGTCCTTGTATTATTTGCCGGTGAAGTTTCATAACACAGAGACACAGACCTGATATAGGTTCCGTATTCACAGCTAATGACAATGCAGTGTTATGATCGAGTTTGTTCAAATTTGTCGACTGGGTTCAGACAAAAAATGGAGATAAAGGTCGTGCTTGGTGCAATCGCCGCTGTTATAAGAAACCAAACGCCTAGTTCCAAATATCTGACTACTTTTTTTGTACGGCAGGTGGTTAACCGTATATTAAGCAGTAAACCGAATAACGAGTGGCGCGTAACAGACACTGCATCCTAACGAAGAAGCCACAGAGAACATAACTAAGTGGCTTTCTTACTCAAAAGAAATAGGTTCTTACTTCCCATCGTTGACAGTATGATAACATCAGGAGAGCAGGTTGTCTAGGCACACCGACACTTCTCTTACCTTGTCAGAAGGCAAAATAAAGACTCTCTCGGTTGGATAAATAAATAAAGAATAATGCTAGAATTCGTAAACAAAATGTGCTTTGATATCTCGAATATTGAATAAGTACAATAGGAGGCCTGTGTGTCAATGACAGATCATAAACGAGAGACTCCGATGGAATAAAGTTGGATATCCAATTAAAACCAGATTGAACATAAGTTTGATGGAAACTTGGGGAACAAGCCTACCTAATCAGACCTGGTTATGGGTCTACCTTATTATTATTAGTCGGAAGAAATGCCTATGACAGTATTCTTCATTCAAAAGTGGATTTATGATGTTTTAAATCACGCCCCGTACGGTTACACCTCAGAATCCACCGGCCTGCTGTGTTATGTCATCAATGGGATTTACTGGATACAGTTGATGGATGCGACGACTCCAACGCCTGGCACATCTTAAGGTTTCTTAGCATGGAAAATTTGCAAAATCTCTGATTCTAAGTTAGGAGACTTCTCGAATGAACACCATCTTTATATACATGTGTCAGCAATGATCTACTAGATATGTTGTTTGAATTCCACGTATGGTGGTCCCCCAACAACGAACCACTACGAAGGACTGCAGGACGGGCCTCCTATGCGGACTTCGGAGTGGATCGTGAGAGTGAATCAGGGGATACGACAATGTTTACTCACGGGAACGCGATCTTCCTTCAAAGACTTCAGCTCTAAGGGTTTTGGATCACTGTATGATGTGGTGTATTTTTCCGATCTGAGTTTACATTAATGTGGACGAGACAGAAGATGGGGCAATAAGCCACAATGTTCGGAAATCAATTGTTCAAATCAAGGTGTTAAATGAGTGTTTCTGTACCTAAAGAATTCGAAAGGAACGGAGTATAAGTCGGCAAACCACCTAGCCTGGCCTATGGTTCTCAGGAGATAATATATTTTGTTTGGTTTACTCTGTTTTATTAGTTGTTGATCAGGTAGTAGTTGCTCTGTTCACCGAGCTTGGAAATTAGCTTACGCTGCGTTCTCAGTCGAGAAGACCTCGTCAGTGTGTAGTTGATCGGGCGCTTCGTCCATGCCTAGCTGCGTTTATATAGTTTTCGAAGAGAACCTAATATCCTGTCATCTGATTGGCTAATTATGGTGCTTTAATAGTAAACGAAGTGCAGAAATACCATACGTTATTACACTCTGCATTGGTGAGAATGCCTAATCTAAGTTTACTTGTTACGGTTCCCATGCGTGTTACTCGATCAATCAGAGTGTTTCATATTGAACAAATATCCAAGTAATTTTCACACTGAGTATATAGATTGGAGTTCCATCAAATCACACTATTGATCCTTACATCTGAAAACAATGACATATGAGGCAGCGAAAACTGAAATTTGGTGCATATTTAACCAAGAGAATGTGATTCTCTCAAAACCACGGCTGGTTGCAAGGGCGGAGACGACAGCTGGTAGTTGGATGTACACATTCCAGCAAGCAATAGCCAGGGGAGAATAAAGAGGATAGACCAAATGAACAAGTGATGGCGCGGAATCGACTTTCCTGTCAAGCACTTTAAAAAATGGAAAACGTCTGGTCGAACGGTAATAAAACATTTGAAGACATTAAAAGTAGCTGTTACGAATTAAAGCGGTTGTTAATTTCTCACCAGACATGCTGGTGGAGTCGCCCAGCCCAATTAAAGACTATCCTTATTTGAAAATGTACCCACCTTGCCGTCTTTCGCCTTTTCTCGCATCATCAGCAGTCCAAAGGCTTGAATGCATGAGATGGTTGCAGCCAAAACCAGGCAGGCCTTGGGTACGCGAGCTAGCAGATCTGGGTCCGTAAATGTTCTGTAATGGGGGATCACAGATTTAGATTAACATATAAAACCAACGAAGGGTCTTAGAAGCATACTCATAAGACTCACTTGGTCGTGTTGTTTACTGCAATATTGTCCGGGTTGATATAGGCCGTCTGAATCGGCGTGAAAAGCAATGCGCCAGCACCAAAGCCACCAACAATCAAACCAACCACCAGGCCACGATTTCTGGGAAACCACTGGATGGATTTCAGATGGATAAGAGGCAAAGGATGATCAACTCAAATGGTATAAAATGGCCACGGGAAAGGAATACACTGTTAATGCATAGAGTTTGGAAATTATGCCGCTAGGTCGACGCGCTAATTGTAATGTATTTGCCATAGTTTCCCGGGAACTGACCTTGAAAGCATCGATCTATCCACAATAAGCAAATCAATCCGGTGGTTTTCCCGTACTGTTTCATCAAAAGTAGGAAAACTCACCTTCAATGGAGCCGACAAGACAGTAATTACCTCAGTAACGCTTGGCAAACAGTTACTGGCTTTGATAGTCGGTGACGTTTACTTAAGTTTGAATCCCCCATGAGAACCTTGAGACATGTGTTGGGTTTTGTAGTTATCATCGCACATGCACGCTTTCACATACTCACAGTAAAATCCACATACGGTGTAAGCGGCGGAAATGTTTTATTCCAATCAAAGTGAATGAGCAAAAGATAGCGAGAATGAAATGGAGTCTTCGAAGCGTTACAATGTAAAATCAAGTTCAGAACAATAAGATTCTTAAAGCAAAATCTCTAAGGTGAACCGTCAGAACTTAATGGCTCTAACATAACCTGCGCATCACATTTCCAGCACGATAACAACTGAGGACACACCAAAAAACACATGGTGACAAGAATGTATCAGCTTGTCTCTTCTGTGATATTAAATATTATAACATCAAACCCATGTATGTAGCTGGCGAAGAGGAAATGAATTATATAGTCCCATAGTAGGCACACTGTCGCGCAAAGCCAAATTACGATCAAAAAATACATACCAGCACATTTACTTCATACAGAGAGCAGCGCGCTGACTGGTCTGTAGCCACTAGCTTGCATGAATAAAAACCGACTGAAAATTGAAATGAACGCAGCTACACCATCTAGCATGCCAAATTGATTTTTGCGCAGTTTTTACCTTTATTACGTGAAAGTAGCTTAATTAGCATATTTCCGTTGAACTGTATGACACTTTATAACACCGATACCATGCCACCAGAATCCATCGAACGGTGGCTGATGGACTCATTCGAGCCTAGAATTAAGAGAGGCGGACTTATTCCAACACCTTCGTTTATTGCAGCCATCGAGTTAATCGCTTCTGAGTATAGTTCTGGTGAAAAAAAGATTGATCTACTGTGATGAGATCCGTTACGTTGTACTTGGAAGGGGCGAAGAACGCCAGAAACATCTAACAAATATTCCATTTGGCCTGTACGACGGGTTATAGAAAACAGTTTGTGTGCGAAAGCACAAAATGGTAAACTGGTGCAAATATTTTTAATATGGAGAAGTTAATTGATCTAAGCATCCTGAAAAACAATCCTTGAGGTTATCTGCTGCTCTTATGCCGGTTATGGGACTTCAGCAGCATCCTGGACGGTGAATCCGGGAGCTCCCGTGATCTCACAGGCTGGTTCTGGCAAATGTGCTTTCATGCACTTACCGGTTAAGTTGGCGTTTCACATACACTGGCTGAAAGTAGGGAAAAGGTACTCAGTCAGCGTTAGTCCGATTTATTCGCCTCTCTTTTGCAGAAAAGTAATAAACAACTTGAAATAGATGCCGAAATCACTAGGATATCAGCTTAATTCCAGCCATACCAAGGTTCTAAGCATCACTTATTCTTCGTCACCCGGAAGTGCCTACACAATCGAAGCGTTGATCATCGAGTGACAGCACAAGTTGTACGTGCGGAAGATTCACAGTTTCGGCATTCTCGGGTTTTCCAGAATGTTCACATTTGATTCTGTTGTCCTGTTTGTCCCTCTAACAGGCTTCATTTTGGATAGAGTAAGCTGTCTGCATTCTAATAGCAGCAGGAGAATGAGGGTACATGGCGATTTCTCTGAAAGCCTTCTTATAGGAGGCTGTTCCCAACATGGATTTGCATCATCTCCACCTCTTTTCAAATTTGTGATGAGAAATTTATTGAGACCAACTATAGATCTTCAAAATAATGTTGGCAAAAGACTTGTCTACCTTAGATTGTAGACTTGCCTTCGTACTCAAAAGAAAGAACGTCACGCAACTTTGAACGGAGTGACGAAGTTCATCCCGCCCTTTGGCATGGGCTATTGATTGATAAAGCTTGAGGGCATGCTCCTGAACACGCCCATTGCGATCCCACCCGTGGTCGTGGGGCGTTACACTTATACAGGAAGCTGGATAGACTCCGCAAAAGGTGGATGAGGGAGTGAATGAACGATTGATTGTTGGTTCAAGACACCAATGGTGATAAATGGGTTTATCATAGGATCTCAATGAACAAGTTAATCAGTCTACAATACGGCTACTTTGTTGCCTGGTTTTCATTTGTGGTCTCTGGAAGCAGATAAACTGTGAGGTAACGAGGTCCTTGATAACCGCCGTTTCATGATTCCCGCTCATGATGCCAATGAATCCGCAGACAATTAGGGAAAGAAAGTTTGGTCGTGCAAGAGAAAGTCCAATCAAAGAATGTGTTCAGTATCAGAGGCTGCAGTGGTTTGGCAGTGTAATGTGCCTGTCGTGTAAGTCTGCTAAAAGAAATGCTCTTTTTATTGCCTAATTTTGGGCTAGAGGTTTTTTACATGACATTCATGCTATCATTTTCTATCCAAAATGTCTGAATGGGTGCCTACCATGTTTGGTAGCTCCAAATGCTTATCCTATAATTATAAGGTGTCTGGACTGTCCCAGTTTGCTCTTCGTTATAATGAGTTTGTCAAGTGTGTCACGCCAGAGAAGCATCACTGTTGAGCAGCAACGTTGTGCTGTCAATGACTATGGTGATGATAGTGATGTTGACAATTATATCTAGGAGTGGGCCATCGGCGCAGCAATTTTATCCTCCATGAAATCATTCGATTATGAACACCACCCCATTCCATGATATGTCAGAATATCAGTAAAGTGGACCGTTTTGATCATGAAAAAGAACCAAAACGCTCATGGAGGGATATTGCTGGCCTTGGTTTAGATACTTTAGAAACGTAGTCACTCCATGTAACTCAAAAAGTCTACTCTGTTGCTTTGAACGAGCTTCGCATCTGAGAGATATGAGATGTCACCACAGAACTGGGTAGAATCACACTTCGAGACAGGCCAACTGATTTACACGGGGGTATAAGTTCCTGCGAGCAGGCTGAAGACAAGATCTTCTTAAACTGGAGGCTCTGAATAGGTTTTGCTAACCTACACAAACCATGGCACTGGTACAATATTTCTTTGTTTGGTAAGCATGAATTCTACATAGCGACGAATTGATCCACACTGTCTTACGGAAGAGAAACACGGCATCCACGCGCAAAGGATGTAAGAAGTCTCTCGGTGTTTGGCCACCAGTACCTTCGAAATATTGACCGGATCCGGAACAAACATCCAGTTGCTGAGGTACCCAGATGGTTCTGGTGAGAGAAACGCCAGTGTGATCGATGAGCGACTCGTACTGTGTGGGATGTATTGGTTAGCACATGTGCTTTGCATGTCAAAGGACTGTCTCCTCCCCTCAGCCGTTTTGCTCAGCTCTGTTTTGAATAGAAGCGACGAACAGGCACACAGTTCATGACCTGACAACAAGTTAAACTCCCTCAAACTGGCAACTTCCGCTTCCTTTGATGTGGACCCTGGGACACAACTTATTATTGGTTAATGGCACCGAGAGAAGTGGTCCACGCTCTCAGTGGGTAACAAGCTTGCATCAAAGAGATTGTCATCAAATGCCTAGCTTCACAACTCCCCGTTTCCTCAAAACATTGAGCTGAATCAAATAACTGATTGCGCAGTCCCTCAACATTTGGCTGTATCTCTCATGTTTTTTCGTTTTCCAGGAAGAAAAACCAGATTTCCTGATACCAACTTATTCTAGGTACATGGTTTATAGATGATAAACTATGAACTGTGATGCGTGACATTAATAACAGTAGTATTTCGTGCGATGAATGTTTCGAAAGCTCGACTAAATCAGTTAATATTTAAACAACTCTTGATGTGGATGATTATTTTTTTGCTTTCAACGTAAAGGTCAACTTCAACACTTAACAACACAAACCAGTAAGCGCTGTTGCTTCGGTTCACGGGGCATAAGAGACTTGTGGGTCGAAGGCGTGGACTGCGAGAAGTGATACAAATCTAGGCCTGCTTGGTGACCCACCGCTGATTTCAAGTCCACCAAAGTGCTGCAAGACACTTTGTCATCCAGTCGGCCTGCGCTTTTGTTGATACTACTTCCGACAAATAACAGTCTAGATCAACAACACCTACATTTGCATCTCAGTGTAGTAAAAGTTAGCTTGGCCAAATGAAAACTTTCTGAAGTCTCTGGTTCACGTAAGAATCATAGTGGCTCTTGGGTCTTTTTTGTTTGGTGCTTTCACAAAGTACTTGCTGATCGGTGGATTGAAACAGTGGCGGCTGTTTGCAAGTTACCTTCTTACACATTTTGCTTCTTCCTTCTTTGGCAACTGCTTCTAACTTCATTTCGACGTTTGTCAAAATTATGGAAGCTGTGATTTGGTTTCGCATGACATGACTATCGAATTTACCAGTGCTTCTAGAGCAGTGTTACACCTACCTCAAGAAGTTATAGTGTTTTATGGGAATGCTACATCAGCTGTTTTGCGTTCGGACGTATGCTGCTGCAGAGTAAGGCGTGGAGACCCATACTTCCCAATATTTGGGGTATTCGATGAATTGAGCTGTTGGACTGTCGATGTTCTAGTCAGGTTATTGGCCTCAGGACACCCTGGTAGGTGGCTCTACCTTTGTTTATGAGTTAAGTTAAGTTAAACTCGTCCTAAGGAGTAGCTTGAGGTCAGGTTTGAGTAGCTTGGGTTAGTACAGCAATTAACGCAACGCGATTTGTGGAGTAAATCAAGCGGCGGTTCAGTCCTCATGCTCCAACAAGGAACTTATCAATTCTTTAGATTTGACCAATATTTCGGATTACTTCAGTTCTACATAGACTGCCTCGTGGGTCAGACTTTTGAGTCG